TAAATAAATAAATAAATAAATAAATAAATAAATAAAACAAACAGCACAACTAGAAGAAAAACAAAACCAGTGAATGCCCATCCATGAGAGGACTTAGGTAATTGCCCGGCCACCCAAGGCACAGGTTTTTAACTCATGTTCACTAACTGTGGAAAGTTTCTCAGCTGGCCCTCGTCCACTGCAGAGAAGGTCTCAGTTAGATCACTGATGCCTTGATGCCCTACTGCCCCACCTATTGGCTCTTTGAAAGAAGCACGTAGGGGTCGGTGCTATGGCGTAGTGGGAAAAGCCGCCACCTGCAGTGCCGGCAGCCCATATGGGTGCTGATTGGCCCAAGTGCTTCGGTCCCTGCACCCACATGGGAGACCCAGAGGAAGCTTCTGGCTGCTGGCTTCAGATCGGCTCAGCTCCAACTGTTGTGGCCAACTGGGGAATGAACCAGCAGATGGAAGACTTCTGTCTCTTTGTGCCTCTCTCTAACTCTGCCTTTTAAATAAATGAATAAAATCTTAAAAAAAAAAAAAAAAAGGAAGCCGGCAAGAAAGGTAATCTTTATGAACTTCCAAATTCCAAAAAGCAGCAAGAATAGAAACAATCTGTCTTATTGTTCCTATATTTAGATTCTTGAAACGTAAGTCTGAGAAATTGTTGTGAAACTCCAACCAAGGTGCATATTTTCAGTGTCCTCAATTTTTTGTGGTTCAGGCTACATCTGAGAATTTCCCCTAAGGCTGGGAGGAGGTGAAGGGGTGTGCCATCCCCATGAGGTGTATCTTGGGCATTTTCAGTGGGAGCTCGCCCCCTCCAGGGTTCTTCCTGCCTTCTCCCTAGGGAAGTATGTGGGGCACCCAGGGGCAAGGACAGAAGAAAGGCCAAAATCCTCAGCCTGGAAAATGGAAATCCCTCTACTGGTGCTGATGTGGTTCTCTGGAGTCAGTAATCTTCCAACCCACTTAATGGATTTAGAGACCCATGCGCCTGATTTTCATAATACTATTTTTTTAAAAAACCTGGTTGTTTTGGAAAATTAATTGCCTTCCTATTTTTTTTTTCTATTCCTCAAACTGAATTGTGGAGTTACAGACACCCTCCCAGTGAGTCTCAGAGGAGGCAAACTTGGCAGAGGATAGAGTGAAAGATAGAAAAATCCATGCCTTGCAAATGCCAAGAGGAGGAACAATCAAATTAGCTGGCAAGGCCAGGCTTAACTGCAGGATCAGGGGATGGGGCGAGGATCTTAAAATCATTCTGTGTCAGGGAAACAAGCATTCTCCTCTCACAGAAAACACTGTTGTGTGTCCATTTAACTCATCTTCCTGGAGGCCCTCTAGTTTTTCAGAGAGCAGACCCGCGAAGGGACAGAATGCTTCTCAGTGGTGGCTCCATGGCTGGCTGGGCTGCCAAGAGGGCAGTCTGCCTGCAGCTCCGTGGCATGGCAAGCTGCCAGGGCCCGGAGAGCCGCGTCAGCTTTCCTTGGAGGAGCACCTGTTCTTCCTCTCTGTGCATCGGGGAGGTGCCACCTTCCTCCACCACACGCTGCTTCCTCCTGCATGGCTCCGTTTTGTCTTTCCTGATGGCAGATGCCTACTGCTCTCCTCCACGCACATACGGAGGAGGAGCTGGCCACCTCAGGCATCCGTTTCCCTGACATGCTCCTGCATCCCAGGTATCAGTCAGCAGCAGGTGCTGTGACATTATGACAAACACTCAGGTCCTCTGCACCTGAAGGCGGCACGTGCAGTGTCTCAGAGTCACTGACATCTCATTAATCAGTCCTCTGATTATGTTGCTCGGGGTCTCTGGGCTCAACTTTGGGCTCCAAACAGAATTTATTGCAATTTGAACATCCTTATTTTCAATCTGGGCATGACTGTCTTGTTTAAAATAGCATAATCTAGCTAAAATATCTCACTGGCTCTCTCAAATTGGCCAACCTTTTCTCTTGTCAATATTACACTTGGGTGTGCAGCAGTCAGCAAAATTTTTCTCTCATCCACTTTCTCAGTTTGCTAAAATGGAAGGAGATAGTCCATTGTCCCTTAACGTATTGTACTTTTAAGTTTTTTATTTCCTTAATTTTCACTTCTTTGAAAAGCAGAGAGAAGGCAGATTGAGAGAGACGGAAACAGAGAGCAGTAGCAAGCTATTCCATCTGATGTTTCAATCTTGAAATGGCCACAACAGCTGGGGCTGCACCAAGCCAGGCGCTGGGAACTCAATCCAGCTCTCCCACACAGGTCACAGGTAGCCAACTACCTGAGCCATTGCCTGCCGCCTCCCAGGGTGCACAATAGCAAGTGACTGGAACAGGGAACAGAGTGATTCCCAAGCAACATCTTAACCACTACACCAAATGTCGCCGAGGGAAGGCTGTGACTGTCAGCATACGACAATTGAAGAGGAAAAGATGTAGGTGATGATTAGTTTACCTGTATGCCATGAGGCTGCTTATTAGCTAGCGCTGATTAAGCCAGTTGTCTGTAAGCAGCCAAATGTGAGAATCTACTGGGCACATCGTAGCTGAGGAGACAGTTATGCAAATGTTCATGTAGCAGAATACTGACCGAGCCTCTTGCCTGGTAGCAAAGAGATGCTGAAGCCAGACTGCAGTGCATGGGTCTTTACATGCCTTCCAGGTTGGTCCACTCCATTTCTCCAGAGTATTCCCTTGCACTTTTTCCCATTAGAGTAAGGTTCAAGACATTATCCTGGCTTTTCCTGAATCAGAAGTTGGCAAGCTTTTTTTTTTTTTTTTTAACAAAAGGCCATATAGTAAATATTGTAAGTTTTGTGGACCAACATGTAAAATCGAGTGACTGTTCTTGCTGAAAGGTTAATAGCCATTGTTACATTTTTGCATCTAATAATGGAAAAATCATTCTGAGCTCATGGACCATGCAGAAGTAGTTGGTGAGCTACATTTGGCCCAAGGGCCTTCGTTTACTGACCTTGTTCAAAATTCTGTTAGTCTTGGAAGACTCAGATCAAATTCCAGTGGCTGTGTGAAATATATCTGACACTCCCCATCCAAAATTCTCATCTCTCTTAGGGTGTCTAATCTGAACAATTTATCTAGCTGTTACTCTTACATTTATCAGTGAATCTTGTAGGCATTATGCTAATGGAAGGAAATAGAAATTTTAAAATCGGGGCTGGTGTTGTGGTGTAGCTGGCAATGCCAGCATCTCATATGGGCACTGGTTTGTGTCCCGGCTGCTCCATTTCCTATCCAGTTCCCTGCTAACAGCCTGGGAAAAGCAGCAGAAGATAGCTCAAATGCTTATGCCCCAATCACCCATGGGAGAGATCTGGAAGAAGCTCCTGGCACCCGGCTTTGGCCTGGCACAGCCCTGGTTCAACTGGGAAGTGAACCAGTGGATGGAAGATTTCTGTCTCTGTCTCTCTCTCTCTCTTTCTCTGTAACTCTTCCCAAAAAGGAAAATTTTTAAATCAAACAAAATGATGTTCCAATTCTATTTTCTCAATTTGTAGCTGAGTGGCACTATGAAAACTAATTAAATTCTCTAAGTCTTAGTTTTCTTCCCTGTTCAGTTTCTATATTTTCATATGAATAATTTACTGAGAACACCATTAAAAGGAAATACATCAAAAATGTTTATATCTGCATTGTCGGTGTTTTGTTTTTCATTTCCTTACCTAGATTTTCTAAAATCCTTTACATAAAATAGATATCCCTTTTATAGTAAAAATATGCAAATATGCCAATTACCTAATCCACAGGGTTACTTGTAATAAATAAAATGGTATGCCTGAAATGTGAAGTCAAAGCAATACTATCTTTCATCTCTTCATGAGTTATCTCTCTATCCTCATCAGGAATATGTGTCTTATACCTAGAATTTAACTACATTTTCCATGTGAACTAAGACACCGCTTTGAACTTGAAGCTCTCCAGAATGCTCAAAACTTGGCATCTGGGAGGCGGTCAGAATTAGTCTAGTAATTTAAATTGTACCCAAAACTCTTTTATTCTAAAATATTTCAAAACAATTTTCTCTGTTCATTCTATTTGGTCACGCTACTCCTCAATCAAATTCAATATGTCTTCTGTTTCCATCACCCAGTCAGCTTCTGCATCTCTACAACTAGTGAATTTACTTTCAGGCTCACCGTATTTGACTTTTCATCACCATTGGATTCACACTCACTTCTTTTTTGCAGCTTGAGCCTTCAGATCTCATGATATCAAAGTTTTCTGGGTTTGCTCTTACATCTCCTCTCTCTCCATTTCTGTATCATTTTCAGGATCATCCTTATTCAGAAATCATTCACTGTTGGCATTTCTTAAGACATAGACCTGGTTATTGTCTTTTTGTGCATCTCTATACATGCCCATGATTTTAGATAATGCCTATATGTAGATTTGTCACTAAAGTTAATCACTGGCTTTGAATTCTCTAAGGACACCTCAATCATGTCATTCAGACTTCTCAATCTCTCTCATGGCTTCCAATGCTTTCAAATGAGCCAGAAATTTAGAAATTATTCTGAATATGTGCCTTTCCAACATCCTGAAAGCTAATCTATCATCAGGTGGATTTTATCTCTTAAGTATCTCCCTCTCCCTCTCCCACTCCCTCTCCCTCTCTGTCTCCCTCTCTCTCTCTCTCTCCCTCCCTTTCTCTCCCCCCCCCCTCTTATTTCTTGGTCAATTCCACCACTTGTGGACAAATAAGAGTCACCTGATGCCTACAAGCTGTGCTGGCTTATCTCCACTTCCCTTGTCCCTCTCTGGTCTGCCCTCTACGCCACAGAGAGAAGCTCACTTTCCAAAATCCAAACCTGAGCATGTGACCTCCACATTTATGAACTCCTACCTCCCCTTCACAATAATCTGTGTCAATTCCTCAGGGACAGATTCTCTTAACTCCATCTTCCAGGGTTTCACTTCAACATGATCCCTTCTCCTTCAGAATCCTTGTTTCAGCAGGTAAGCAATCGCTCACTAAAGTTATTGTATGATAGTTTATCTCACCTACCAGTCTGTAACATCTTCTGCAACATCTAATGTGCTTGGGTTTACAGACTGTGGAAACCCAAGCATGTGGTACAGAACCTGATGAAAAAGAAGCACTCAGTTAGCACTTGTGTAATGAATAAATGGAAGGACACAATAAAATTTGGCCACGAAGTATATCTGAGTTACCTGAGGATTCAGTCATTAACCATTGTCTTTGAAGTATTAATGTTTCCATTTAAACAATGGATTGTTTGGAGACTTTAAGACTTCATTATCCGTTCACGTTGTACCCAAATGCTTTCTTCCAAATTATTTAGCCTGTCATTTTACACTATCAATCTGTTTAGGTATTAGAGACGGAGGCCTATTCACATGAACCCAAATAATGGTAATTGTAATAATGATATGGAAATAAAACATTTTCAGGAATTTCTCCTGAGCCAATTTATAAGAAGGACCAAATTTTGTGGGGAGCAGAAGAGCAGGACTCCATGGCGTTGAATTATCTCTTGTTCCTTCATTAATGTGAGGCACATGCCGCTCTGGATCTGTCTACTTCTATTTACCTACTTATTTTCCCATCATGTATCTTGACATATTCTTAGGAGGAATAATCTATCATCACCTTAGTGACCAGTTAACCTCTTGAGACAGATATCACCTGGCATCTGCACTGTTGGCCCTGGGTCACCTACATATGCTAAAGGATGTAAAGCAGAGAGGCACAGATATTAAACTGGCCACTCATGCTTAGACCCACTTCTTTCAGCAGGTGCTCTGGGACTCCACCCATATCTCTTCTTGGGGGCCAGAACACTCATCTCCTAGCTGCTTTTGGTGTCAGCTGTTGGGTCCACACCTGCACCTTTCCACATACAATGTCCCTCAGATGTTAGATAAGACTTCCTGTGCCTAATGGATGGCTTGATTTTGCAGCACATCTTCCTCAATTCTGTGTGTGAAAAAGTAGTGTCTCAAGAAAACTAGAAGATAAAACCATAGACTGGGGCAGGGGTAATATTTGCAATAGAGGCATCTGATAAAAGACTGTTATCTAAAATATACAAGCAAGACTTGAAATACAAAAATAAGAAAATTAACAACCCACACAAGAAATAAGCAGAAGACCTGAACATCACCAAAGAGGATAAACAGATTGAAAATAAGCATGTGAGAAGGTGTCCAACATCATATGCCATTAGGAATTGAAAAATTAAAAAATACTGCAATCTTATTAGGATAGTAAAAATCCAAAATGCTGATGCATATGCTGGTGAGGATGTAGGCAATAACAACTGATATTCTTCACTGTTAGGAATATAAAAGAATACAACCACTTTGGAAGGCAGTTTGGCAGTTTCTTACAAACCTAAATATAGTCTTACTATATCATCCAGAAATCATGGTATTTACCAAAGTGATTGAAAGCTTAGGCACACACAGAATCCTGAATGCAGGACTGCATGTTTAGCTTAACTGTTAAAACACTCATAGTATACATCAGAGCAGCTGGGTTTAATTTCCAGCTCTGGCTCCTTTGACTCCATCTTCCTGTCAATGCAGATTCTAGGAGGCAGTTTTGGGGTTGAAGTAATTGAATTCTTACCACCTATGTGGGAGCCCTGGGTTCCCTTTCATGATTGAGCTCTGGTACTGGCCCAGACCCAGAAGTTGTAGACATTTGGGAGTGAACCAGCAGATGAAAGCTCTCTCTCCCTCTGTCTCTTAATAAATAAATAATAATAATACTAAGTAAAATTCACACTCTAAAAAAAAACTCCTTCATATGTATGTTTATAAGAGCTTTATTTATAATTGTCCTAACTTGGAAGTAGTCAAAATATCCTTCAGTGGGGGAATAGTTAAATAAACTCTGGCATATTCATGCAGTGGAATATTATTCAGCACTAGGAATTGATCAGCTGTTAAGTCATGAAAAGAAATGTAGGAACGAAGCCAACCTGAAAGGACTGTGTCCTATATGGTTTCTATAATATGACATTCTGGAAAATACTTCTGTGGAAATACTAAAGGATCAGTGGTTTCAAGGGTTGAGAAATGGGAGGATGAAGAGCCAGAGCACAAGTTCTCCAGGGCAGAGAATCCACTTTGAATTAGATTATAGTGGTAGATATATGACATTATACATTTGTTATAACCCATACGATGTACAATACCAAAAGTGAATCCTAATGTAAACCATGGACTTTGGGGGATAACGATGTGTCTGTGCAACTTCATCAACTGGAACAAATAAAACACTCTGATGGGGGGATTTGCATGTGCTCCTGTACTTTCTGCTCAATCTTGTTGTGAATTAAAACTCCTCAAAAAGTCAAATCTATCTTTTTTAAAAGTCTCTGTAGGTGGAATCAGGTTGAGGTTGGACCTCACAGACCCACATCTTTTGCTAAGCTTCTTCCATGCCTGATCCTACATTTGTTCTCCTTTCTCTTGAGATCAGTGCCTCAATAAATAATTTCAGCAAAATTCCTCACCTGAGGCTCTGCTTCTAAGAAACCAACCTAAGATGTAGTTGTAGGTTGGCACACGTGATTGCTGACATCTTCAAAACCTTTCTTCTATGTAAAGAAGTCGGAGGAGAGGGAATTTTGACAGAAGAGGAAAAGAGTTAGTAAGAGTCTGGGATAAAGGTGCTGATAGAAATAACTGGGCCTGGAGGGAGCTAAAAAGAAAATTCATCCATATTACCAGTATCACAACCAGGGAGATGGAAATATGCCAAAGACAAATTTTGCCTACTTCAAAGGTTTGTCTGGGTGCCAGCTCCTAATTCTTCGGGAAGGAAACAAGATGCTCTCAATTCCTTTCACTCACTCGATTAGTTCCCTGTGGCTGCTGTAACAAATTACCAGAATCTGGGTAGCTTAAAACAACAGCCACTTATTCTCTCACGGTTCCAGAGGCCAGAAGTTCAAAAGCAAAGTGTTGGCAGAGCCCACTTCCACTCAAGGTTTTACGGGAGAATCTTTTCTTGAATCTCCAGCTTCTTGTGGTTACAGACAATACTTTGCTTCCTTGGCTTGTAGCCGCATCAGTCCAATCTCTACCTCTCTTGATCCTGTGTCTTCTTGATGTGTCTCTCCCAAGGACACTTTCTCTGGCTGTGGGGTTTACCTGGATGGTCAAGGATGATGTCATTTGAAATCTTAATTGCATTTGCAGAGTCCCTCGTTTCAAATAAGGTCACATCCACAGATCCCAGGGAATAGGAGGTGACCCTACCTGTTTGGGGACCACCATTAAGCCCATTACACTCAGTTAATTTTCTTTATACTTCACTATATATAGTAATATTCTAATGATTATGTATTAATTTATAGTCTACAGAGTCCTTTAAATTAAACAGCATGCTAATTATCATAATAAGTAAACACGAGAAAGCGTATACCTGTTATCCAGCGGCTTTTCTCTATGTCCCAGGTGTACTTTTTGAGATGTTATTTTTCCTATTGTAGAGTTGAGGGAACTAAGACTGGAATGGAGCTTTAATTTTTCATCCACAGCATTTTAAACTTGCTATCTTTACTGAGTTTCTCTTCCCTATTAGAAATAGAATTTTAAGGGACTCCAGCTAGAAGTAATTCACAGTGTTCCCTGGGTTACTTTTCTGGATATAAAGCAAATAGCACTCTCAGGAGCAGAATAGATTAGAGGTGAGGTCCGTATGGAAAGGCCCTCACTTGTATTGTTGAGTGGTTCAATGTGTCAAGCAGGAATTTAGATCTTAAAGAGGTAGCTGGGGTCCTCACTCTGTTCTCCTACCAGATTCCTGAATTTAGGAAATTCAAAAATTTTCTGCTAACCCATTAAAGTAAGATGTTTCCACATTGCTCTCAGAGCTATTTAAGGTCTCACTGGGTTAAAAGTAAAATCATATTCACCAGACCCATTGCATAATAATACCAACATTCATCATTTTGTACTTGCAAACCATGAGCAAGAAATTCCTAAAATAGCTTCATATATTTCCATGTATTAATCCTTATCAAAGATCTCCCATTTACTCCTCCTCCATGTGGGTTCTCACCTCTACTACACTTTTGAAAGAGAAAAGTTGGATATCATGAGCATTATAAATATTCATGTCTCCTCTTAACTGATGTTTCCTACTTTTGTATAAATGCTTTCTTCAATTGCCTACTAGACACGCATTTCTAAAGAATTGTGAGCCTATGTCTACCTAATAGGAATTCCATAAAGAAGAGACTATTTTTTCTTTTGATACTGCCTGCCTACATCAAAATCAAATGGTCAAAATTTGATGTGTGAGCCTCCCAGACAAAATATAGCAACTTCACTGCTTTGTAGAAGAAAAAAGTCATTCACCAAATCAGTGGCCACCATAAGGAGGCTTCAATGGCCTCTTCAACCTCACTCTAACTATGTGTAGTAGAGATCCAGCAGCAGCAGCACCAGCCGAGAGCTTGGAAAGCATTTATACCTGTAATAACCCCAGGCCTGCCAAATTGGACTCTCTACAGTGGGGCACAGTAGTCTGGCCTTGGCAAGATCTCTCAAGGTATTTGATGCCCACCAAAGTTCCAGAGGCTTTCTACTATAGAGTGGCTCCCAAGTGCTAATATTCATAAATGTCACCTGGAAGTTAGTTGTCAAAACAGAGTTCTGGGCTCCACCACTAGAGTATGTGATTCATGGGTTTGGGGTATGCCAGAGAATTACACGCAAGCTTCCAGAGGCTACTGATGCTGCAAGTATAAGGATCACAACTTGACAACTGCTATCCTACTGCACTTCCAGGGGGAAAGTCCTCAGTTTATTCTTTCTCTTTGGATATGAAGACTTGAATAAGGAGTATTACCAAAAGAAAAAGAGAAACAAAGTCCATGATTTAGATTGTTTTTAGTCCTGGCTTTTCTATTAAGCGTGGGTTCTTGTATGCTACCTTGGTATCTGTTAAGATTTCAACTCTTCCATATTCTTCAGATAGGAATTCAACAAGTGTTTTAATATCTCCCTCCAAATATCTCAGACCATCCTCCTGAGGCTGGTTTCACTCTAAGTTACTCTTTTGGTCTCCAGCTCTATTCTAGTTCTGTTTTCTTCATATATTTACCAGACACACCTTCTTTAAGCCATGTATGTGTTGCCTTTCTCTCTGTTTGTAGTCCTCAAAGACTAGTTCCTACCATATCAAATCTGAACTGCCTCTTGACTTTGAAGATGACCAATTCGGGCTGAAAGGCCTGCAAAGCATTTCAGGAATGGAAAGCCAAGACTCTATGACAAAAAAAGAATGTCCTACACGGAGGATCTCTGTGAGACCTCAGAGGAGAGAAAGGGTCATCAAAGGAGACACTCTCCTCTGAAGGGAGGAGAGAACATCCACTTTGCTTGTGGCTGAATCCAAATACCAATGGAGTCTATGGTCACAAAAGGCTTCCATAGCCTTGGCAGCCCATGACAAGAGCCTTGGATGATCACTGACATCATAAAAAAAAGAGTGTTAATTGTTAAAGGAAAAACAGTAGTCACTGTGCACTCTGTTCCTAATGAATTGTCATATGAGAATTGACTGCAAATTCTCTATAAAAAAAAACTCTATATGCTGTGTGTGTGTGTGGGTGCAAAGTGTTGAAGTCTATGATTAGCATGGAGTTGGTCCTCTGTATATAAAGCCATACTAAAAATGAGCCATAATGAAGAAGGAGATAGAAGAGGGAGAGGGAAGGGAGCTGGGAGGGGGAGGGTATGGAGGAAAGATCCACTATATTCCTAAAGTTGTATCTATGTAAAAATGCATTCATTAAATAAAAATTTTAAAAAGATTAAACAATCTTTTAAAAAAAAAAGATGACCAGTGACCTAGAATCTTTTAGCACCCACTCTCATAGCTCACTTACCTCCTCTTTGGCTCAGAATGATCTCCTTAATGTGCCGCATACTTGCACATTCATTTTTCATCTTGCTACTCTCCTCACTTTCTCTTCTTCCTCTATGCAAATATAGCACATCATTCCAGTCTCAGAGGAAATGCCAGCTCCAACCCAGACTTGTGCACCAGCCTCTTCTCTGTGTCCATAGCAAATATCGTTAGTCAATCAAGCCTCCCATTTAAGCTTCAGTGACCAGAAACCATCTCTATATCCTACATGACAGATAGCCAGCAATGCTTACACTTGATCTGGCTGACTTCATTTTATGGAGAGCCAAGTTCACCTAAGTTTCTCATTTACTTCACTGCAGAAAATATTAGAAATATTTATTTAGCAAATTTCATTGGTTTCTACAGAAAAAAAATAGAATGAATGTTCATCATTTTAGTATGATAGAAGCACAGAGATGTGATGTTTATATCAACTTAAAATATATCAGGCACAAAATAAACTTGAAAACTAATCGTCGTATCTAACAAGAGAGTAATAGTGAAAGATACTGGCAGTCTGTGATGCTGGCATCATGGAACTATTGATTTGAATTAACATTTATAGGAGTTATTTTTGGGCCGGTGCCGCGGCTCACTAGGCTAATCCTCCGCCTAGCGGCGCCGGCACACCGGGTTCTAGTCCCAGTTGGGGCGCCGGATTCTGTCCCGGTTGCCCCTCTTCCAGGCCAGCTCTCTGCTGTGGCCAGGGAGTGCAGTGGAGGATGGCCCAGGTGCTTGGGCCCTGTACCCCATGGGAGACCAGGAAAAGCACCTGGCTCCTGGCTGCTGCCATCGGATCAGTGCGGTGCACCGGCCGCAGCGGCCATTGGAGGGTGAACCAACGGCAAAGGAAGACCTTTCTCTCTGTCTCTCTCTCTCACTGTCCACTCTGCCTGTCAAAAAAAAAAAAAAAAAAAAGTTACAAAAAAAAAAAGTTACAAAAAAAAAATTTATAGGAGTTATTTTTTAAAATATGAAATAAAATCTTGACCTCAACTGTTTCGTTTTTCCCTTTTCATATCTTGACACAAAATACTAAGAGAAATGTGGGGGAAGCACAGAGGCTGTGATTAAATATGCTCCTGGCTTTCATTATCTTCTCACTTTTCATGAGCTCTAATTTAAACATCTTATTTATAGTACAATGTTCTGAAGAGTTTCCTGGGTGTATTCAAATGGGGATAGTTTATTGGGTCTGTTCTAGCAGAAGTCAGCTTCTGGCTCATCACCCTAAGTGGCAGCTCTTCTCTGCTCCTGAAAAATAATGTAATTCCCTTTCTTTAGTCCAATTTTCAGTTTCATTGTTATTGCTCTATTGTGACCTAAGGCTGTATGAGTTTAATAACACTTTAAGTTTCAATATTATTACTTATATTTACAATCTTTACATCATAAGTTTGGTATCTTCCTCTAGTACTTACCAACATTCTTAACATAAAAAATAAGTAAAATCTAACACAAGAAACAAGTGAAAAAATAGTGTGAATTAACAATTGAAAAGAAAAAATGAAAATTATATATGCTATGTTTTAAGTATATATTTATTAAATGAGCTTACAAAATAAGCAGAAACTATTTTCTAACTCTACAAAAATTTGCTTAAGCCACCTAGTTTTGTTCTCATATAATAAGTGTTTCAGATAATAAGTACAATTATTATTATTTATGGATTACTAGAATAGTCTGCTGCCCAGTATATAGGATCATGTTAAAAGTTACATTAACTTATATACCACGTCCCCTTATTCTTTCTTTATCATCTGTCTTAGTTTGAGTTCTCTGAAAGCAGATTCCAGGAAAAGAGTAAGTTGCTCATAAAGGATGAACTCCAGGAGAAAGTGGTAAGAGAAGGATGAGGTGGATATCGAAATGGAAAGGATCAGTCAGGGCTAATATCAGGTGAGGCCTGAACCTCTGCCCGATCTGTGGGGATCTGAAGAATATAACGATACCTTGAGTTCATCTTTCCTGAAGGAGAAGAAGCTACAGCAGCATACCTTCCAGGCACTGGCTACTGGTAACTCCTGGAGAACATAACGTTCTGGCCCTTCTCAGCATGTCTGGGCAAAGCATATCCAGTAGCCTACTGGCCTACACACAGATCTTAAAGAAGGTTTCAGGCGTATGTATTTATTTGCTAGCCCATCAGGACAACTACAAGAATTCCTTTTTGCTTCTCCCAAGGATGGATTTTTAAAGACTCTCCAGCCATACTTTTAACAGTCCATCAGAACTTCTGTACAGGGAGTACTGTGGAAGTAGGTAGGAAGTAGATAGGAAGCTAAGAGTATGGATTGTAAACTATCAACTGCTATTTAAATATGTATTAGTAATAGTACACCAATTTTTCCCACTAGGATTTGGATAAGAAAACAGAAATAGTTACCCCCTAGCATTTGCTGCCAAACATATTGCTTCCTCCGTTTCTGATAATCAAGTGTTGAACTCTTTTCTAACTTTGATTAGCAACAGTTCTCACAGTATTATTGATATTTTGCCCAAAACTCTGCAACAAAGGCAGCAAATACAGAGCACAGGTGGTATAGTTCTCTGCTTCCTTGACCATAACAGACAATAATAATCAAATGTAGATCTCATTGCTTCTTAGCCTCAGTCTAGATGCTGCCTCTAAATTCTCACACAGTAATCTGAGAAGCAACATCCTACTATCCATCAGTCACAATGATCATCTAAGATTCAACTTTTGCCATTCGTCTTGTAAATCAGTCTAAAATGCAATTATATACAGAATTTTCAATTAGAAAATAAGGGAACTCTTAGAAAAATGAATTTGATAATAGAAGTTGAGCTGTTTCCGGTTTTGAATCAGTTTAGCTGTTGGGTAGGTCATTCAACCTTGTGCACCTAGATTTCCTCATAGTTCTAATGAATGACTCGGCTTCTGTCTCTGACAGAATCTATTATATATTCTGATCTATAAATTCCTTTTCCATTTTAACATTTTCCAAATTATTTCTGCCTTTTTCTTCTTATCCACCTGAAATGCTACTGCTAATTCTTCTCTTAGCCTGTTTAAGCCATACTTTCATATTTCCAAATCCCACATTCCCCATAAAGCAATTTTTGGTTCTTTCAGCCAATAGGGAGCTCACCTCATGTTGACCCTTGTTAATTTTTGTCCTCCTTGGATGCAGGTGGCCTAGTGTGTTTTGATGAACTAGACTGCAAGCTCCCTGGGGAGGGGGTGGGGTGGGGGGAGGAGCATCCAGGTATCACATTACATTATTGAAAGGAAGATTTATACACAGCAGATGATCAGTGATAAAGAGATGAGTTTATATTGGGATTAACTTTTGAAACATTTCAGGTTTGTTTGTCTCCAGCTGATCCTCCAATTTCCTTGGTAGATTTAATCTTAGAAATTTTGGTTAATGCTAATATATAGGGGAAAAACTAAAAGCAGTCTGCCAAAGTATCCTTTAAAAGTATGTACTTCTATAAAAACTGTGGTCTGTCTCATTAAGCTAGGAAAATTAATTGGCAAAAGAGAAGATTTTTAAAAAGATGTCTAAAATTATAAACTCAAGATCTTTCTTTTAGGTCTCAGTTTTAGCATACATTTTTCTGAGTGAGTTGGAAGTGCCTTTTTAATATCTTATTTCATATTAATATATAATTAAATATATTTTACAGTTTCTATAAACTGTGATATGTATTATAATTAATTTATACTGTAAATGTTTTATAATTTGAATACAGATATTTTATAATCCACAGTTCAGCAGATTTCAGAATTATATTTAGTTCTTTGGAAATTTAATAATTACTTATATCTGTACCCTGTCTACTCCTCCCTCCCCCCAAAAAAGGAAAATCGAGATGGTTTTTCTAGAGTATGGCCGAAGCAGTGAGATGTAACAAAAAATACTTGTTTTATAACTCTAGCTCTCCACTCTATCTTTTTGTGTTTTTTGTTGTTTTCATGTAAAACAGTTCACTTCTCTTTTACCAGTGCTGCCTTCCCCAGCAAGAAGCCTTATAGCTATGACTCTGGGACTGTAAAGGAAGTAGGAAGGGCTAGTACATAATGGGATTATATGATAAAGAATCTAACTGGAAAAGAAACTCTATTATCACCACCCTGGAAGCTGAGCCTCTTTACATCAAAGGATGAAGGCGAGGGGGTGGGGGGAATCTTCAGAATGGGTTTCCTTTCATTTACACTTGGGTTCACCACAGTTGGGCATTCAATGCATCTCAGACTCTCAGCCCTGAAAGAACTCGCATCTGACTTTAGCGCGTCGGGAACTTCAGCTGAAGCAGATCTGACATGAGAAGACAGACGCCTGAACAGATGCAGTGTGTAGAGCGGGAGATTATGTTTTTAACGAAAACTTGCTGATTTTTCTTTTTAAAAAACTGTTTTCCCTGATGAGATAAGTTTTTAAGTGTGAACATTTTGACATTTTTCTTTGCACATCACAGGTTTACTGTGTTTATTTTTATTTTTTTTCTTTCTCATGGCTAACATAATCATCCCGTGGTGGACTGTGAAGGCAGTATTCAGGTGCTGTCAAAACCCCTGGGCCATTGCCATGTTTTTGAAACTTCTAGCACTTCACAAAGCTTCACAGGGGTCTGGTTTCCCTGATGTGTGAATTGCTGCAAAAATTAAAACATGGCCAGTGCTGGACTCTGTTGACAGCTGATGAGGGTCACATTCCCACAGTTGCTCTCAAGTCTCACAGATCCTGTCAAAGAAATCACTACACCTGCTCCAAATTGCTACCTGAGGAGAAAATTAGAACCTTACAAGCATCTGAAAAAGTGACAGAGAAGGGAAAAATTCTGGGCGAAGGAAGAAATTTTAGGGGACGAGAGTACACTGAGCCAGTGAAAACTGCACAAATGACCTCATGCTCTGTATCTTATGGAAGATATCCAATAAGAGCAGATACAGAGACAATGGAGAGCAATTTTTGAAATGAGTATTCCTGTGAGTGCAAGACCTACAGTTAGTAACCATGCAAACAATCATACCACTTAAGTATGCTGACTTGTTGACATTCAGTGTAACTGAGAGCAAAGTCAAGACAGAAACATCCGTGTTCTCTGCGTTCTTTCTTGTTTTCAAGAGCATCGTTCCATCCTTTCTCCAGAGCAGTCGTCCTCAAAGAGTGGTACCAAGACCAATTACATCAGCAGGACCTGGGTGCCTTTTGGAAATTCAGATTCTAGGCTCCCACCAAAAGCTCCTGCATTAGAAACTCCAGGCCAGAACTCAGCAATCTGTGCTTTAATAAGCTTTCCATATGTTCCTAATGCACACAAAAATTTCCAAATCAGTGCTGTAGTTAGAGCATCATCTGTCTCTCACTCAGTATTGGTTTATAGTCATCTGCGTGCAATATGCCCTAATACCTGCTACACTGAAGAAAAACCTCCCTTGCCCTCATGTCTGCCATCTGTCTTCTCTCTCTTTCATCTCTCACAGCACTATTTCTTTTCACATGCTGTCTAGAGAGCGAGCTGCAGAGCAGGAAACACCAGACCTCATTTCCTCAGAGAAATACTGACTTAATCATAAACTCTCCAAAAACACCTTCAGGAGAACTCCAGAAGCCAGTTACAAAGTTGCAATACTCCAGCCATACTCAAGGCTAAGAACAGACACGTTGAAAGATGGAAGCAAAATCGTTTCATTTCATCCACAATGCCCCACCACCACCACCAAGTGGAT